AACCAACACACACAAATATAACCCCATAACATTTTTCCCATCACATAAAAAACCTACCTTTCCCCAGAAGAAATTACACCACAGTTAACAATAACTTTAACAGCAGCAAGCAAGCAAAAGCTTTAATATTATAACCAACCAAACAAAATCAATCAATCATGGGCCGACTAGCCTCGGCCCGCATCGAAAAGTGACCTCACAGACTCCTTCGACCACAACCGTGTAGTTATGGGCGGGCCTCGACAAGAACGCGGGCAGCGGCACAAGAAGCCCGCAAACGCACGCATTGTCCACCTCTCTCAGCCACCGGCAGCACTTCTCCTCATCCGCTGTTGAGTTTTGGGCCTGAGGGCCCAACGGGGAGGGCCCGAGGGCCTGTGGGCCTGGTGGGGCCCATGGGCAAGCGGGCAGTGATCGGCAAGCGCTGTTAACCAGCCCGTACTGCGCGTCGCAGAGAGGAGGAATGCTGACTGGCCACTTTTTCTGAGCCGTAGGCTTAGGGTGGAGGAGCACGAGAAGGAGGAAGGGTAGCACGCGGAGGATCGTGGCTCGGTTCATGTCTCGAGGGGTTTTGGGCTCGTGGGGGTGTTTTTTNGGTTCTGGCTGGCTGGCTGGTTGGCTGGCCGGGTTATATAAGGTATTGGAGTATCGGGTTTCATGAGATTTTCATGTTTAAATCGGGTTAGGTGTGTTTTTTGGTGGATGGGGAAGTACTAATACAAGGAAAAAAATAAAAATTCTGTGTGTGTATATGTGCCCTGTGATTAGCACATCACAGTTTCTTTTGCATTCCAAAAAAAATAAAAATTCAGCTCAACTGTATTAAGCACAATATCACCTAAGCAATTGTTCTCAAATTTAAATAAATGAACATGTAATAGGTTTTTCCGGTATTCAATATCATAATCAGAACAGCAGTCTCATATTAAATTATCGCGTATAACATACTACATTAGAAACTCTTTAACCGAGTCACTCGTCTATACTCTACTCATAGGAAGGCACCAAATTTGCAATACTAACTTCCCATAGCATGCCCCTGTGACAAAATCAGTCATTCATGTAAACACTGTTAAGTTATGGTTACTTCTTTAGCAATATTGACATGAATCACATGGCAAACATTTGACAAGTAAATTGGAAGGAAAGAGAAACCCTTTTCATTTTCCAAAATGCTAAAAAAGCCTCTCGATTCATTATTCGACTTCTTAATATATTACATGCTTTGAAGTTTGAATAATCCACTATACAAGTTTGTATACGATATCTAACCCAGACGAAATCTACAGAAAGCACTAGATTAACGAGAAAATCATAGGGAGAACCAAATTCTCGCTTTACCTCGGCCACTTTATCCGCGCCGATGACCCTGTCCTTGCCCATCACCACTAATTTACACAGATTTTCCTCCACCGGGAACCGGATGAAGGGGACTGGGCCGGGTTCTGATCGATAAAGGTTCGGACTTTGATGTGTCGACGAAGATGCTCGCTGCGTTTTGCCAAGTAACGGATGGGAATCATCTGACCCGATTCGTTTATTACTTCTCTTACGACCCGAGCACGGAGCCGCCATTGATTGTCGTCCACGATTGCTTGTTCGAGCTTCTGACCCTTTTTCCACACTACTTTCATGGTCGAAATTTGTAGCAGTAAGATGGAGCAAAAAAATGTGGCAATATGATTTTAGGGTTTAGGAATAAGGGGAATCGGCTTGATTTGAACAGCAATTTGGGGTGTCTGGGAGGGATTTGAATTCTAGGGTTTATGGTAAGGGTTTATGAATTTTGAGTGTATATCCAAGGAAATAGAAGTGTAATTCTTCAGTGTTTAGCTTATGGGTTTAGGCATATAAAAAAAATAGAACACGAATAATAATACGATAGAGATATTAAATTAGTTATTGTCATATGCTATATCATGTCTGTTTAAGTATAAGGGTTATCATCTATTTTCTACATTAACAGTAAGATTATTATCTATTTTCCACTATTGTAATCAATGTTGTTTTTTTAGCCACAACATGGTAGGGCTAGCTGGTAAAATAATTAATATATTATCTCACTAACACATTTATACTAATATAAATTTGATTTTTTATATATATATATATATATAATCCTTGATATAAGAGAAAATAATAGTTTTATTTATTATTGTTCATCATATAATACTTAATTATTATTTTATTATAAATTTTGTTATCTTATAATGTCATTATTATTTATAAAAGTCATAACGTTGTACGTCTTCTTTTTCCTTTTATTTAATGTAATGAAAAATATTTAATGCACGTTAGTATTATTGATTTATGTAATCAATCTAAAATATGTAAATAAATTTAAAATTAAATAGTGTATAAATATTTAGTGCGCTTTTCTAATTAAACAACTTTGATTTAACAAATGCCAAAAACTCAATCACTTTTATAATCGTAATTTTTCTAATTTGCATTATAAGTATTTATAGTTTATTTAACATACTTTGCAATAAAAATATATTTTACTAAAATTTCATTATAGAAATAAATAAAAATAGAAAAAATAATAAAAAAATAATCATGGTTGCTAATAATATACAAATAAATTATAAAGAACAACTAATATATTTTAATTTTAATTTTTGACTATTAGAAAAACTATTTAATGTATCTTATCATTATCACTTAAATGGTAAATTATTAATTTAAAAAATAATTTATTTTTTTATATATAACGAAATAAGGTTAAGAAATAATTATATTGACAAAGATTAATTCACCAACTTAGTTTCGCATGATTAATTGGAAGAACAAAATTCTGTCTAATCTGTTACGTTTTTCTATAAATACTTTTGGATAAAAAGTGAATATTTGCGAAAAAATAATATTATGATTATAACTTAAAATATGTTGTAATATTTATCTTGACCAAAATATTATCAACATGAATCACGAAAAATCAGTCTTGTAATTTATTATAATAGATATCAATAAAATTATTATAAATATTAATATAATTATTTAAGGAAATAATATTTTTCATCATATCTGATTTAATCTTTTTTGAAAACCTATATATGGAAGCAATTAATGCATATATTTAAAAATTTAAAAACTTAAGAAAAAAGTATGCATTAAATGCTCCCAAAATATTTTACTACTATTTTTAATAAATGTTATTCTTATTATATATATATATAGATAGATGTCCAACCTAAATAATAATAATAATAATAATAATAATAATAATAATAATAATAATAGTTGTATGACCGGCATATACTTTTATTGTTTTTAAATTAATAAAAACATGTACTTAAATTATGAAATATCTTTTATATATATTGTTTTTTATAGTTACACTTTATTGTGGAAGTATATATAACTGTGATTTAAAACTAATATTTGGAGAGTTTCACTCAAACAAAGTACTATTTTCTCATTTCATTTCTTTAAATCACTCGCTTAATTATAATGTTAAATTTATGTTAGTTTGTTGTTTGGGAAAATGAGAGTGTGTTTGTATACAAATAAATCCACTCAAAATTATTTTTTTTGGTTAATTAGAATTAATTTTGAAAAAAATAGTATCGTAAGTTGTTAGTATGATTTTGATTTTATATTAAAATAATATTTAAAATAAAATAACTACAGTTAATTTGATATAAACGTAGGAGAGAGATTGTTTGAGTGATTTTTAGATAAAATTATATGAGATGATAAATAATAAATTAAGGTTGATGTGCTACGTAAGAATAATAAGTTGATATTATTTAATTATATTAATAATATTAATATTAATGATAATAAAGTTGAGTTAAATTTGAGATAGAAATTAAATATGAATTGGGATTTCTCATATCCAAAGACACCTGAGATGCTTTTCACATTCCAAGGCCCATTTAAAGACTCTTCATGATCATTGCACATTTCCCAATAAAAGTAACCCAAAGGTTTTTTCCTTTTTATTTATCCATTGGATTTATTTATCCATTGAATTTGAAAAATAAAATTTGACGAATAATAAATGTAGAGTTTTTACTCTACTCTAGAGTAGAGTTGAACAAAAATTAAATTTGGTCTCCAACTGTGTTCGCGCTACATTCTACTCCGCATATATTATTTATATTATTTTAATTTAACTAACGTATTAAAATATTATTTAATTGTACATATTATTTTATAAAATAAATATATCATGATCTTAGTTGGTTTACTGTAAGAGTGAAATATTGTTGGACAAATAATTATTATTATTTTATATTAATTGATTTATTTTGTAGGAAATCAATATAAATATAAATTTTTAAAAAATAATATTTTCATATAATTCTAAAATTAAATTATCAATATGGTACAAATTTTGTCAAATAATAATGTTTAAGATAAATCAGTTACATATAATATAAATAAATAAAAAAACAAATAAAAATTGGAGTTGCTCTAAATACACCAACAATTTTACACATCATAAACCATGTATAATTATTTAAAAAATAAATTAGAAAAAGTTCCTTTGTTAAGTTCCTTTGTACTTTGTAGTACTCCCAATCCCTAAGCATGCTAAATTCCTACCAAGTGGACAAATTCTTTTCCTCCATGCTTACTGCGATTGTACATCCGAGCCAACGGGACTGCTTTGACGGAAGGGTACAATCCGGTTCAGCGTGAACCTAATCGAAAGAAAATAAGTAGTATTAACTATTAAACACCGTATAAATACGAATGCGCAGGAATTTTTCCTCCGTCGTCTCGATGTCTTCTGTATGACTGATTCTGTTGAAGATTTTGCTGCGCTTAATCAGGTAAGCTTATATCTCCTTTCGTTTATCTCATCGTTTTCCCTTTTGTCACTCCATCTCTCTATCTCTCTCTCTCTCTCTCTCAGTAAGAATGTGGATTTTGATTGAACAAAATTTCACTTTTGATCGAATAAAAGAAGCGAAATTGCAGTGAGTTTTTGATTTGTTTATTTTTTCCGTTAGATTAGATATGATTGTTTCTTTTGTTCCCTTTAATCTTCCTGTTCAATTGTATAGTGACGGAAGGCTAAATTTCGCGTCTTTTTGCTTTAATCACTGTGATTGTTCAAGTTCACCACTGGTTTTAAATGAAAAATTGTATGCCCTTTAGGGTTTTGTGTTTTTTGTTAACTATTCTTCCTGCCCGCTTTGTGTTTTTTGTTAACTTTTCTTCCTGCCCTTTATTTTGTGGAGTTGGTGGGCGTGGACCTCGTGGTTGAAGCTCTCTCTGCATGCGTATTTTCCATTTAGTTTCGTGAAATATAGTTTGTGATAATCTAAACTATTTGCTTTTGGTGATTCTTTAAACTGATTTAATGGGCTTGCAGATGGATTTCATCGAAGTTTACGAGTCTCTGCTAGAACTTTTCCCGCAGGTAAAATACGAGGTTTTCAGATGAATATGTTTTTTTAAAAAGTAAATTTTGTGCCATAGAAAGATAAGATAAGAATAGGGTTATGGGACAAGTAGTAGGCAGACAGTTCAAATGCTGAAAAGCATTTGATATTTCATTAGAAGTGATTTTCTTGTCCGTTTACTAAATTTCCCAAAAGGATATATAGATTTGGTAAAATGTTTGTTTGGTGACAGATTGATGCGCGAGCTCTTAAAGCCGTTGCTATCGAGCACAACAAGGATCCGAATGCCGCTGTTGAGGCAGTTCTTGAGGAGATAGTTCCTTTCTTTTTCGAAAGATCAGCCCAAAGTAGCCCTTTGAATCAGAGCATAACTATGATTGAATCCTCCGAAGGTAGAAGCTTATTGTGCAATCTTTTTGATTCAATCTTTGACAACTGATCTCTTGGAAGATTTATAAAGTCCCATTTGTTACTTTCTGAATGTTGGCTATATTGACTTGCTTGATTGTTTTCCCTTAATTCTTGCAGCAGCTCACGGGATTGAGGTGAATATGAGTGCTAATGTGCACTCTCCTAGTGAACCTCTCGTTTTGATAGATTCGAATGCCACAGATACTCTTCAGGTTGATATATCAGGAGGGCTCGAAACAGAGGAAAAAAACTCAAAATATAATTTATCAGAAAATAGCCTCAAGATTTCTTCTAGTGGAATGCCTCAGGATGCACGTGCTATTTTGGGAGAATTAGGCAAACAAAGTGATGCTACTGTTAGACCTTCGGAAAGTGATTTAGAGAAATCTGATGTGGATATGTCAATTGATACACTCGAGGAAAAATCGACCTTGAGTGCGATGACCGAATCTAGTCAAGCTCAAGTAATGGTGGTTGTTGAGGAGATTATAGAAGAAGCAAGAGATAGTCAGGTAAATCTGTAGTGTCACTATCATGCTCTTATTATTTACCAAGATGTAATTTGGTAAATGGTTACTCATCTGGTTTTGTATTTTCTCCTTACCATACCTTGACCATAAGCCAAATGAGTTGCTGCTAAATGTTTCCTGATTGTTTATATTTATTGTCGATATCTTGATTTGAAAAGGGGGAGGGTTAGACCGAAGAAAACATGGAAAAAGACAGTAAAAAATGATATAAAATATTTAAGTTTGAATGAGGATATGTGCTTTGATCGAGCACGATGGCGACATGTGATCCAAATTTAAATATTTAAATTTAAATTTGAATGAGGATTTAAATGGCTTGTTGATTGATTGATCGATCTTAATTTGATATTTAAATGTCTCGTATTTATCCTTCTCCTAAGCTGTTCTGGTAAATTTTATGATATTTGTTTCTCAAAGTGTTCCTCAAAACATATATTCTGTGATTACAAGATTTTTTTAGACTGAAAAATAATGTATATTTTGTGTGATTAGTTAAATCCCATACGCTCTCATACATAGAATACACTGCAGAAAATGCTGTTCACAGCAATGGAGTCTATTATAAGCTTGATGAGGCAAGTCGAGCTCAAAGAGCAAGCAGTTGAGCAAGCAAAAGGAGAATCTTCAGTTGGTGGCAAGGACACAATGGAAAAAGTTGAAGAGCTTAAGCAAATACTGCAACACGCAAAGGAAGCAAATGACATGGTTGTGTTCCTAACTCCCGATTTGTGGCATTTTTTTAGAGTGTGTTTGTTTATAAATTTATCCATACTCAAAATCTAACTCAACTTTAACTCAATTCCATTATCTTTAATATTATTAATATAACTAAATAATACCAAAGAATCATTCTTATACATCACATCATTTTAATTCACTATTCAGACCAAAATAGAAAAATTTATCAACGTCCCGAAGTCTCGCACACAACACCTATTTGCAATGCGTATAACATATTTCCATCGCAAAATCAAGTTTGGAAACAAAAGTTTATGCATGAAAAAAAACTATGAAAAATAGTAGTAAATAACGTATTTTCATCGCAAAAATTAAGTTTCGAAACAAAAGTTTAAGCATTAAAAAAAACTATGAAAAATAGTAAATAGAGACCAAAATAGAAAAAAATTATCAATGTCCCCGAAAAAACTTGGTCTCGCACACAACACCTAATCGCAATGCGGATAATTTTAACTAACCATCACTTCATATCATTTTTCTCCTACTTTTACATCAAATCAACTTTAATTATTATTTTAACATTACCTCAAAATCCCACTAACAACTAATCATATCAATTTTTTAAAAATTAACTCTACTTAACTAAAAGAACTCATTTTAAGCGGATATGTTAGTATACAAGCACGTCCTTTAGTGATTTAGTTTTGTTGTTTACTGTTGACAAAAACTTGTGCTCACTAATTCTGACTTTTTCGCCCCTCACAGCATGCTGGGGAAGTGTATGGTGAAAAGGCCATCTTAGGGACCGAGTTGAAAGAGCTTCAGTCCCGTGTGGTCTCATTGTCGGACAAGAGGGACAAATCTCTTGCAGTTCTTGAAGAGGTGATTTTTAAAATATTCTTTTTTTTT